GCTCAGTGGGCACCGGTCTCTTCTGTCTTTCCCTGCGGGGTGCTTCTAGGTGGTCTCCAGAAACATGCTGCTTGTTCTCCTCACGTGCTTGGTGGCCCCTGGGTCACTCGTGGGCCAGGAGGACCATGGCATCAGATCCGTGGCTGTGGGGAGAGCCAGCCAGGTCTCTCTTCCGTTTAGGGAAGTTTAAGTGGGAAGCAGTAGGCGTGGGAACCCCCTCTCTGTAGACGTGGATAGAGGCGTTTCTGAGTCATAGCGACCTTCTCGGACAGAAAAGTGCCCCTTGGGGGTTCCGGGCTGTGCATCCTTACCAGAGCAGACAGCCTCGTCTTTCTCCCATGGAGCGCCTGGTGGGTTTGAACCGCTGAGCTTTTGGTCAGGAACAGCATGGTTTACCACTGCACCGCCAGGGCTCCTTGGAGTCCAATAGCCCACGGAGTCTCTGCTCCTTAGGGAGCGCACCTCCTGCCTTGCTGCTGCCACAGCTGCCTCGCCTCTCCTTTCTCGGTGAGCCTGGGACCCGCCCACGCCGGTTCACGGCCATGCCACGTGGGCACGGCAGATCTCCTCCAGCTCAGGGCTGGGAGCTCTCAGACAAGTCTGGGCAGAAAGCAGAGAACACCAGAAGGACAAGCTTACCTGTGTCTCATTGACGATGCAAAGAATGGGAACTCCAGAACATTTCCTTGTGTCCGTTCACTCGGACGGAACCTGGGTCTGGACCCCGAGGCTGTGGTGGGAACAGATTGAGGGAAGTGTGTGAGGGTTGCGGTCGCTCACCATACAGCTTCCATCTGTTTGCCGAGCAGCCGGAGGCGCTGGACTGTGTGAAGAAGAGGGCATCCGCATTGGAGGAAGGCTCCTGAGGAACCTGGGATACACAGATGGCCCCGCCGTGCTTGCTGGAAACCAGGAGGACCTGAACCACTTACCGATGAAGAGCAAAGGCCGCAGTAACTTCTGTGTGGACGACAGTTTCCATACCAGGAAAACCAAAGTCCTCCACAGCTGGATCAAGCAGCAACATCGTGATCGATGGAGACAGGCTGGACATGATTAAGGATTTCATCTTGCTGGATCCACAGTTCTTACTCATGGGAGCAGCCGTCCAGAGATCAATGACGCATTGTATCGGGTCAATCTGCTGCCCGAGCCCTCTTTAAAGTATTAAGGAGCAAGGATGTTCCTTTGACGGGCACCTGATCCAAGCCATGGGGCTTTCAATGTCCTCACAGGCATGTGGAAGTGGCACGGTGAACCAGGAGGACTGAGGAAGAGTCGGTGACGGGGAACTGCGGTGCTGGCGAAGGCTATCGAAAGCCCCGTGGACTAAGACCGAAAGACCACACAGATCTGTCTTGGACGAAGTCCAGCCGGAGTTCTCCTTAGAGGCGAGGATGGCGAGACTCTGTCTGACGGACTTCGGACACGTTGTCAGGAGAGGCCAGTCCCTGGCGAAGGACATCGTGTTTAGTAGAGGGGCAGCGAAAAAGGGGAAGACGCTCAAGGAGGTGGATGGACACAGGGGCTACCACCACGGCCTCCATCAGCAACAATTGTGATGGCCACCCAGGGCTGGGCGGCACTTCTGCTCTGTCGCACACGGGATTGCGACGTGTTGTAACCAGCTGGACAGCAACTGATGACAGGACCAACCTGTGGGGAGCAGGCTGCAGGCCTTTGCTGCAAGGTTATCTCGGGGTGGATTCGAACTGCCAGCCTTCCCATTAGTCACTGAGCTCCTAACCGTTTGTGGCACCCAAGCACTCCTCACTGTGGGGCCGTCCTTGGGTCTCAGGATTTTGTACCCACATTGGGGTGGGATCCCTGGTGGCACAGTGGTTATGTGGGGGGCACCTAACTGCAAGGTCTGCTGTTCAAACCACCAGGTGCCCCTCGGGAAGAGATGGAGCTTGGCACCCCAGCTGCCGTGGGTTTGTAGCTTGTGTTTTCTGACCCACTTCTCGCCATTGCCGACTAGCTGACTAACTGCTGTGTGGCGCTGTGTGTCTCTGTGTGTGCTCTCTGTGTCTGCCTTGTCCTTTTGTGCATTACATGTGCTGCCTGTCCTGTGCGTGTGTTGTGTCCGTGTTCTATGTGTATGTGCTGTGTCTGTGGGCTATCTGATGTGGATGTGTGTTCTGTGTGTCTTTCTGTGTAGTGTGTGTCCATGTGTGTTTTAGGTGCTGTCCGTGGTGCGTTTGTGTATATTTTTTGCGTATCTTGTGCTCCCTGTGTGTTGTATCCATGCGTGTTATATGTTTTATGCGTGATGTGTGTATGTTGTGTCTATGGTCTAGCCATTGTGTGTGTCTTTGTGTCTGTTGTGGCTTTGGGTGTGCTGTTGTTCATGTGTGTTCTGTGTTCTGTGCGTCTGTCTGTTGTGTCCTTTTGTGGGTTGTGTCCATGTACATTACACAAGCTGCCTATGGTGCACATATGTTGTATGCCTTTGTGTGTGTTCCGTGTGTGTGTTGTGTCTTTTTGTGTGTTATATGTGCTGTGTGTGTCATGTCTGAGTGTGGGGGTTGTGTGTTTATACGTGTTATGTGTGCTGTGTGTGGTGTATGTGCGGATGTGTGTGCTTTCGATCTATGAGTCCATGTGGATTGTTTGTCCATACGTGTGGTGTGTGTGGTGTTTCTGTCTGTGAGTCCAGGTAGGTTGTACGTCTGTGCGCAGGCTATGCACCTGTGTGTGTGTTAGGTGTGATGTGCCCGGGCATCTGTCTCTTGTGTGTACTGACGGCTGTGGCTGCACCTCTGCAGGTTCGTGAAGTGGCTCCCCAACAGTGCCAGTGACATCCTGTGGCTGAAGTGGGCCGTCTCCAAGGCCTGGTCTGAAGTGGTGGCCCCTCTGCTCCCAGTTCCCAGGTACATGATTTGGCTGCAGATGTGTGAGCCAGGGGCACCCCTCAATTGGACAGTCCACGTGCAGCTTCCCAGAGGGGTGCAAGGGGCTACCTCTGGTGGTGGGAGGCCCTGTCTTGGGGGGTTGTGGGTGGCTCACTGAATCCACACCACAGGGTTCCTGCTGAGAATTGTCACCAGGACCTGAAGTTGGGTGCTGGGGGGCTGCAGGGGAGGATTGGAATGCTGCCCTAGATTGAATTGTGTCCCCACAAAATATGTATCCACGTGGGGCTGGACCATGATTCCCAGTGGCTTGGCAGTTATGGGATGGTGTAGTTTGGCAGTTGTGTGATATAATCTTGGTGGTTATATGATGATGTAGTCTGGAAGTTATGTGATCTGATCTTGGCAGTTATGTGATGATGTAGTTTGGCAATTCTGTGATGTAATCTGGGCAGTTATGTAATGATGTAGTTTGGCTATTGTGTGATGTGATCTTGGCCGTTATGTGATGTCATTGATGGGCCAGGAGAGACACAGCTATCTCTAGTAACAGGCTTTCATTGTGGAGTGCAGCCTGCCAGGTTTCTCCAGAGGGGAGGGTGGGTGGAAATGCAAGGTGAAGGGAGAGCGAACAGCAGGGTGGAGGGAGATCAGAGAAGGAGAGAGAGGGAGAGGAGAGAGAGAGAGAGAGAGAGAGAGAGAGAGAGAGAGAGAAGCCAAGAAGTAAGAAAGTAGCAAGGAATGAGAAGGAAATCACTCACATATATACAGGCATATAAGGCAAATCTTTGGGGGTAGAGACTAAGAGCTAAGTTTGGGAGAGCACCGAGTAGCCTCCTGATTGGCAAGTATGAATGTGACCTGGTATCTGACATGTAGGGAATTTGTTTTCACGCTCGGGAAGATGTGAGAAGGGGGGCAGGGAGTCTGTGAGCAAGAAACAAGGGGAGAATGGTGGTGTGCTGGACCCATCAGGAATTGGAACAGTTATGCATCAATCAGATCAACCCCAGGATATGACCTGATGCAATTACCTTCCATTCATGATATGCAGTGAATCGTGACCGCTGTGTGTTCATGATGTGAGTGATGATTAGATATCTTTTAGGATGAGGCAGGATTAGAATGAAGTGCTACAGCCCTGCTCTGGTCACCACCCTGATCCAGCAGCAGGGCCATTTCCTCAAAGCATGGCCTACATCACCTGTCCTTTCATGAGAGATAAATAGAGAGAGAAGAACAGAGAGAGAGTAGAGCACATCCTTTGGACTAGGCATCCTGGGCTGAGAACCTACTAGACCCAGAGAAAGATTAGTGCCAAGACACATGGAGATTACCAAGTAATGCCAGGCCCACAGATGTTGAAAAGAGACAAGAACCTTCCCCCAGAGTCTGCACACAGAGAGAGAGAGAGAGAGAGAGAGAGAGAGAGAGAGAGAGCGAGAGAGCCTTCCCCTGGCGCTGGTGCCTTGAGCTTGGACTTCTAGCTTCTGAAACGGTTAGGAAATGCATTTCTCTGGTTCAAGTTGCCCACTTGTGGCATTTCTGCCACCATAGCAAACTAGGTCCCTAAGTCAGTTCTTCCTGGACAAGGTCTGAGTCCAGTTCTGATGCTGCAGGAGGGGCAAGCTGGATGAACTGGGGGATGAGGCAGTGGGGGCAGGGGAGGCTGGCCTGGTGAGGTCTGGAGTGTCCTCTGAGGAGATGTGGTTTGCTGAGGTGATAAGCCCTTGGAACCTACGGTGGGGGAGGCAGCAGGGCACAGGGGAAAGAGGGAGACCAGGGAGGGGGGCGGGGAAGGACCAGGCAGGGCTTGGAGAGCATGAGCGTGTGCTTGCATGTACGTGCACGTGTGTTGCAAAGGCATGCCTGTTTGTGTAGATTCCCGGGCCCCACCAGAGACTCCCTGAATCACAGTCTCTCGGGGTGGGCCTGGCAACCTGCATCATTATCGAGCAGCCTGGGTGTTGCTGCCAAGTTCAGAGCATCAGACACGGCAGATCCCGAGGCGAAGAGTCTGCACCCACAGTGAGGCCTGGCCACTTCCTGGCTCCGGCCGTGGTCCCCTGTCCATGGTGCTGGGCTCCTCTCCTCACCGCCCTGAGAGCCCCTCGCCCTCGCCCAGCCCTGGCAAGTGGGACAGGTGCTTTGCTATGGTTGGCAGACTCACGGACTCACGTGGGGAGTGTAGGGTCCAGCTGCACTGGCCCTCAGGGGCCATGTGGAGGCTCCGTCACAGCAGGGTCACCCTGTGGCTGGGTTTCATGGGACCGGTGGGTGGGACAGGCTCCAGGGACAGCAGGGGGCATGGGAGGGCCTGGCTTGTGCTCAGAGGGCTGGGTGTGGTTAGGAAGTGCAGCAGAAGGTAGTATGGGCAGGCCGCAGGGCCCCAGGTGTGTGTGCAGGACGCTAATGGGCCACATGTGGCGTCCTGGATGAAAGGCCACGTGATAGCCACGGAGAGGATGATCCCAGGCGGCACGCATGGAAGCACGTGGGGGCAGAGGAAGTCGGACTCTGGCATGTGTGGTAGTTCACCTGGCATTCCATCCGGTGAGTCAGCCAGCATCGGCTGAAGCTGCCCAAGCACCAGGACCCTCACTAAGCCAGCTCTCTCCCTCTTTCAGATGCTCAGCTCCAGCAAGCCGCACACAGGCCTCGCAAGCTCACATCCCACGGACACCGCTGGCCCCCCTTTCCCCCAAGGCCATGGTTGCCCACCATGGTCGATCGTGAGGGCCACCCTCGCTGTCTTCTCTGGCATCATGACACCCCCGTAGGCCGGGAAGAAGACAGTGCCTTCTTGGATTGTCCGGAGGAGGCAGTTGCTGTATCATGCCAAGAGATGAGGAAATTCTCTCCCAGGGCTCGACCGTCCAGCCTGGACAATCACCCCCACCCCAGCCAGCTGTCAGCCACCCACGATGCACAGAATTCCAGCACCTGGGCCAAATTTACGTTGTTTTTGATGGTGGCTGTTAGGTCGGCCCTGATTCATGGGGGCCCCGTGTCTGCACCCAGAGACCAGATCACGTGTGATCCACACCGCTGCGTTGACTTTCTTGCAGAAATAGGTCGCCAGGCCTTTCTTCTTAGTCCCTTAGTCTGGAAGCCCCGATGAAACTGAGTCAGCATCCCGGCAACACGCGCCTCCATGGACAGGCCGGGTGGTGGCTGTGCAGGAGGGTGCTGGTGGGTATGGAACCTGGGTCGGGAATGGAAGGGGGGTCTAGTGGATGGGGAGTGAGCCTTCTACCCCTGAACTAACTGTCCGTGCCTTATCTCAGGTGGGATTAAAGGAAATCAAGGGTGCACCTTTCAGAGCTCCTTTTGACCCAGCTAAGATGTGATGAAGAGTTTGTGGAAAAACGCAAGGGAATTCTATCATTAGTTGAATTCTGAATCATGTGAATCAGTGAAATGTTGACAGAATAAGCCTTTACAAAATAAATAAATGCCGAGCGAGAAGGACCAGCATCCTGGCTCCCCAAACTGGAGCCAACCACAAGAAAAGCCCAGGACTCCTTAGATGTTCAAGCCCTGCGCGCTGAACGTCACTTGACCCAGTTCTCCGGGGCTGCCGTCGCAGAACTCCCATTCGTGGATGGCTCTGGTGAACAGACGTCCAGATTGAGGGTTCCAGCTCTAGAGGAAAGAGGCTCTCTCTGGAGGAAGGGCCTGGTCTCCTTCCAACACCTGTGGGCCCAGTGCTCCTTGGAAATCTCCACGTGTCTGGGCACCAATCTTGCCCTGGGCTAGGAGGTTCTCAGCACAGGAACTCTGGGCCCAGGAGATAGGCTTTGCCTTCTGGCTTCCCCTTCTAGCTGGTTGTAGGTTGGTCTGTCTCTCTCTCTGTATCACCTGTAAGATAAAAGGTGGTGCAGGCCACACCCAGGAAAACTCCCTCTACATCCGATTAAGACTGATCCGAGGAAGAGTTGCATCCCGTTCTAATCAACCCCCTCACAACAGATAGGCTCATCACATCAGATAACACATGAGGGATGCTGGACCATACCATGTAGCTTCCGAGTTACATCACTACATTCTCAACCATTGACAAATCGTGGCCTATCCAAATTGACACTGCTTGCAGTCCCGTTTTTCTGTCGCTGCTTCTGAAGTCTGGGTGGTCTCAGGTGGTGTAGCTCTCCCCACTTTCTCTGAGCCCTCACAGAATGGCCGTCGAGGCCCGGAATTCCACCAACAGCCTTTTCACAGCAATCGAGGCTTTTACTTTAGGCACCTTAAGACTCTTCCAGCCTCTCCTCATTACCAGTTCTAACACCGCTTCCACATTTTAAATAGCTGTCAAAGCAGCACCCCGCTCCCAATACCAAATCCCATCTCGGTTCTCCAGTGCCGTCATAACAGAAATACTGCAAGTAGGTGCCTGTAACAAGGATTTTGCTTTTCTCCCCGTGAGGAGGCTGGAGGTTCTAGCTCAGAGAGCCAGCTCTGAGGGAAGTGTTTCTTGGCTCTAGGGGCTGGTCCTTATCTCCTTTCAATATCTGTGAACTCTGAATCTCTCGGAGATCTCCAAGTGTCTTGCATCAAGCTTCCCCTGGGTCTAGGAGGTTCCCAGCAAAGGACCCTGTGTTCAAAGAACTTTCATGGCAGTAGCCAGATCCCTTCCTGTCTCGCCAACTTCTCGCTCCTGTCATTTCTTGTGAGAGAAAAGGTGATGCGGCCCCCCCGCCCCCCACAGGCACACACCACTGACATCAGGTGAGGGCTGTGTGTGGCCTGAATTGTCATTCAACCCGAATCCCTTACAAGGGACTGGCTGGTCATGTCAGAGTGTCATGGGGGTGTGTGTGTGTGATTACATCATTACATAACTGCCAAGGGACTGAGTGAGGATCATGGCCCAGCCCAGTTGACATGTTTTGGGGAAACACTACACAACCCGTGGCAGTTTACGTTCCCTCACCTGTGTATAAGGAAGAGCATGCTCAACTTATCTCAAGACGAAAGAACTGAAGGGCAATTCAAACCTCCAGTTGCAATATTAAAGGATTCTGTGGGCAGACGATTGGATGATGTAGGAAGCGTGTGACGAAGACGTGCAGACTTCACGGCCAAGGTGCATCGTCTTCATTAGTGTCCCGTTTAACAGTGTTGGGTTCTTTTATCTACTGAAAGGGCTGCACAGACACCCTCCAACAAAATCCATGGGGGCAGGGTTCATTAAGGACGTGGACAAGTTGTAGTGCCCACACGGAGATGGACGGACACCGCGGCTGCAACAA